ATTTCTTTATTTGTATAACATTATATATTAGTACTATTATTTACGAGTAACAGATGTAGATTATTTTTGTTGTAATGCAAGGTCAACACCTCTGGTTAACATCTTTGATTAATACCTCTGATCGCCACCTCTGATAAATACCTCTAGCACAAATAACTCATTAGTAAAATAGTTTATAGAATCTTCTGGAATATTACAGAAATTTCTGGAGCTTTCTTGAAATTAGTAATTATAGTCTTGCGAAAAGATGACAATTTTGTATAAATAGAGGTGGCTTTTATTCTTAGAGTTAAGACAGTTAGAACTTAAATACATTCTGAACTTGATATATGTAATAAATTATTAATAAAAGTCTTTGTAACAAATAATAATTTGAATCCTTTGATTTCTTAGTGAAATACTTTTTGATAAATAATCCCCACTTCGTGATCTTGATATTATTTGCTTATAATTAACCTTGCTTTATGATCTTGGTTAATTGTATTAATTCTGTGTGAATTCTTGTAGTTTCTGTAAGAAACTTATAATATTCTATGTGAATATTAGTTAACTTAGTGTCATATTGTTTAAATACTATATCCCTTTAAAAACCTCACACCTTAGCCTCTTTCGAACAAACTCGTAATATCAAATCCTTTACACCTTATACCTCTTTAAGTATAAAACTTTCCAACTATAACATATTCATCTAATTACTTTGTGATCTTTTGAACACTAGTTTTCCTGTTATCAGTTATTAGTTAATCGTGCTTAGTAAAGATAATCACGGTTAACACTACTAAGTTGTTTCTAAGATAGATAGAACAGCCTTGTTTTTAATTATAAAATGATATATTTTTATTCTTGTAATATTGATATTCGCAAAGTTATTCTAGTTTAAAGAAAGAATATTTGTAAAAAAAAAATCATGTGAAAATTTTTACAAAATTTTGCAAAATTTTGTATCACAAAAATTTTGATAAAAATTTGTGAAAATTTGCATAAGTTTTTTGAAAATTTTTGTATGATTTTTTTCACAGATGCTCTTTCTTTAAACCAAAATAACTTTGCAAATATCGATATTACAAAAATGAAACATATATTATTTTGTAATCAAGAATAAGGCCGTTTTATTTATTTTAGAAACACCTTAGTAAAAAATTACTCTGTGTTTCAAAAATTATAAGCGAAGTTAAAAAACAAAAAAATATACAAAAATTTACAAAAATTTTTAACACCTTCAGAAATTTGTGCAAATTTCTATCTTATAAAATTTCTTGATACAGTATTCACTATAAAGTTTATTTGTATAAATGTTTCATTATATGGATCAATATAATAAATAGTGTTTAAATTACAGGACATTTTTTTTTAAATAAAAAAAAAAATTTTTTACAGAAAATTTAAACAGATCAATTTATTTTTTTTAAATAAAAATACCATATTTTTTTTTGTAGTTAAAGATTTTTTTTTCCTATTTTTCAGTCTCATTTTTTTTTATTTTGAGTTTTTTTTTTCTCACTTTATTTTTTTATTTATTTATTTATCTTAACGCTAGTGAAAATATTTTTTTATATTTTTATTTATATATAGTAATAGAGATAAATAAATAAAAAATTTCAAATTTATTTATTTTTATTTTTTTTATTAAATAAATAAATATTTGTGTCACCCTTTCATGATTTTGTTGTTTTTTTTTTTTTTTTTTGAAAGAAATAAATATATTTAATCAATTTCCATTCATTGGGGTAAAAACTTTTTTCTTCTATTTCTACCTTCTAATTATAATTAAAATTATAATTAGAATTTAGATTAATATTAGAATTTTAAATAATATTTATATAAAAATAACTGGTGTGGAAATGCTGTATTAGGGAATTTTTTTTTTGAAAAGGAAATTGGTTACATAGTACCACTTTTTCAATTTGAACAAAATATACATTAAAAATAAAAATCACAAATAAAAAATCACCAGATTTTTATTATACATCTCTTCATTATCTTATATACTGTAAATTTAACTATTATTTTAATTAATTATTTTTTGCTATTGATAGCAATAAGACATCATAAATATGATAATAAATACTGTTCAGAGAGAAAGTAAAACCAGAACATCTTTATAAACTTGACTTCAAAAATATAAAAGAAGAGAAAAAACTATTTTGGGACATTTGAAAAATTAACAGTTTAATAAAGACATTTTTTTTATTGGTAAATAATTATCACATTAGGTATGGTAGAATAATCAATACCAAATTACTAGTTGGAAATTTTCAAGTTTTAAATGATAACAATAATAATTTGATAATAATGAAGAAATTCGTGGACATCAAAAGTAATTAGATAATTAATATTTTAAAATGTAAAGAAAAAACTATAATTTTATTTATAGTCAAGTTATTGTCAAATTATAAGATTTTCCTTTTTGAATAGTCACACCACCAACAATGGATTTATAAATTCAAATGAAAAAATATTCAATCATGTTTTAAGAAATAATGTATTATCTAGCTGGTTATTTGCCCAATGATATTTTAATAAGTGAAAAAATTATGTTGACATTGAGAGTGGAAATTGTAAATTGTGTACTAAAGAACATTTTAGTCAAGAATTAGAACTTGGTCTAGTGGAAATGTCGAAATTGATAAGGTCATCCAAGAATCTCAAACAAATTATCTAAGACATGGATATGTGTTAAAATTACAATGGATACCTTAATAAAACTTTTGAGATATCAAACACATATTAAAAAATGGCATTTAAATGACATTGGAATTCTTTTGTAAATAAAAGAGTTGCTTTAAAAGAAAGAAATGATTCTAGCAGATACTGTATATCTAAATTTCTTAAAGAAGTAATGTTTCTTTTATTTAAATTATAAATTATTATTATTGACAATATATATGTTGTACCTCAGATTTAGATGTCAACTGACCAATGAAGTGATTCTTGACTCAGGTGTAAATCTTCATCTGAGGTGCGTCAAATAAAATTGTGATTATATGAAGAGAATTTATTAAAGCTCATCTCCCATAACAAGAAGTTAAAGTTAGTGTTAGTTAGGGTTAGCCTAGAGTGATAAACACATGGGATGAAGTTTAATTATATCACCTAAAATAATCACAATTTTATTTGATGCACCTCAGGTGACAAATGAGTCAAGAATGGTGAACGTCCATCTGTAATGAAATTTAATAATAATATAGAAGATAATATTTTTCAACAATTTAAGATTGCAAATGAAAATCAAGAAAAAGCAATCAAATCTCAAAAACAAGAATTATTAGAATTACTTTCATCAAGCGAGTCTCATTCACAATCTTGTTATATTAGCTGAAGTATTCATACTCTTCATGGATTGCATAATTCATCAAAAGATATAAAATCTGGAAAATCTCAAGGTATGGTTTTATCATGATTTTAATTATATTTATTATTTTTAATAAATAATTAATTACTAAATTTAAAATATTTAGATCCTAATTTATTAAAATCTAATGAATCAAGTATCAATACTTATGATATAGATTCTAAAGAATTAAATTCAAAATCAAGTAAAAAAAAACGATCATTCAACTTTAGATTGTGATTCCCAAGAATCCAAAGAATTCATTAATTTGGATAAAGAAGATAATATTACATTTAAGAAGATTAAAAGAGACAATTAGCTTATTTAAAAATTGAAAAAATATTTCTAATATTTATTTTTATTTTTTTTATTGATTTTATTTTTTATTCTGATTTTAAGAGTTTTATTTATAATTTTCAACTATTTCAATTATTTTCAACTATTTTCAACTATTTTAAACATATATTTTTAATAAGACTCAATATTAACATTACAATTTCGGGATTTATATCAGGTGTCTTACCACAAAAGTGAAAATTATATGAATTTCTTTTTTAATAACCAACTTATTTTTGTAATTATACTTAGCTCATGGATTGTATAATTCATTAGAAGATATATTTATTAAAGTCTAACGAATCAATTGTGAACACTTACTGAAGAATCCAAGAATGTAATGATTGAAAAAAGAAATTCAAAATCAAACAAAAAATCTCATTCTTCAGTATCTTAACTTTAGATTGTAATTATTGAGAATCCAAAAGAATGTATTAAAATTAAATAACGAAAAAAATATTCGAATATTAATATTATTTTATTATAATTTTTCGGAGTCAATTTTTAAATTATGTTTTTTTATGGTTTCATTTATTATTATTATTATTATTAAAGAAAACTTATTTAACATTTGAAAAGTTTTTTCATGTGCACATATTAAAGATGTAAACTTGCGAGTTTCCAACATTATCAACGCAAAATAAAATTAGTTATAATTGTTGCCAAATCAAATTGCACCAATTACTATTCTATATTTTGTTGTTAGGTCTGAACAATTTTCAACAGTTTACGTTAAAATAGGGTGCCAAAAACCACAATACAAATTAACAAATAAGATAGCCAGATTTTATGTCTTGCGATTTGGTGGTTAAAGATCAAAAATTCAAAATAAAGTAGAATATTCATTTTTAAAAATTACTTGTAACTTCCAATTTTGACTATGAAACCAAACCACCTTCAAGATCAAAAGAAAAATTCTACTTGTGATTTTTTAACATCTAACATCAATTTTTTATACATTTAGTATTCACTAACAAATTTCATTAGCACCACTGATTCGCTTAGTAAATAAAATATTAATATTTTAATAAATAAGTGAAGAGTAGTAGCATTTAAAGATAAGTAGAGTAGTTTTTTGCTTTTGTTTTTTATTTTTTATTTATTTAGAAATTAATTTATTGTAATTTATTAAGGCTTCTCTCTCTAAGGTAATATCTGTATTTTAAAAAAGTTATTTATGAATTTATTTTCAACTAACAAGTTTGTTTCTTTGTGATAAACTTGAATAATTAATTTTGACATATTGTAACCTGTTCTGTCTGTTTATTATTGATTAGTTAAAAATTTTTTCCTACTTTATTGTCCGAAGCGTAGCAGTGGACGAGTAAAGTGATACCAAAGTTAGGGTCTGTCCGATTTTTAGATAATGATTGTTAGATAAAGAACACATGACAAATAATTTATTAACTTCGGACTTACAATGGTTTACCATTTCCTAGTTTACTTGAAATTCGAGAACATCATCAAAAAAGGTAATACCAAATATGTTTTATAAAGACATTTTAGAAGGGATCAATGATTGCTTATATATCGGAGTGCGCATAATAATAGATAAAGTAATTTGGCAAATACAAATTTCTATAATTTATAAAATATCCAATAACGCATATTTCTTCATTTTCCATGTCTCAAGAAAAGAAAATAGTGTATTGTCCAGCTGGCCATTCTTCCAATGATACTCTTAGTAATAATAACAAAAATTTCATTGATATCCGTTTTGGATTTTGTGAATTATGTGATAAAAAAACATTCTATTCAAGATAAGGATATTCAAGAATTTCAAAAAAATAATGAATATTATGAGGATAAGTTAAAATGGATACCTTATGACAACATTCGAGATATCAAACACATAGCAGATGGTGGATACGGATCTGTGTATTCTGCTAAATTAGAAAATGGCATTAAATGGCGGTGGAATTTTAATAAACTGGATTGGGAATATTATTATGTAGGTAAAAAAATTGCTTTGAAAGAAATTAATGATTCTAGACAAGATGTATCTAAATTTCTTAAAGAGGTATGTTTCTTTTATTTAGATTATAGATTATTATTATTGAAAATGTTTTACACTATTAAATTATTTTATTTTTTTTATTATATTACAGGTTAAGAATCTAATTATTGCGAATGAGTTGATTTACATCACAAAATGTATTGGAATTTCAAAAAATCCTTTAAGCCACAACTACATTATTGTTTTGGAATTATATAATAGTAGCTTGCACAAATTTATGACAAAAAGTTTTTTGAATTTAAGGTGGGAAACAAAAATGCATTTAATATTTAAAATAACGATTGGTCTTAATAACTTACATATGAAAAACTTAGTTCATCGTGACTTACATAGCGGAAATATTTTGATATGTGATTATTCAAAATCTAGTGGTGCATCAATTACAGACTTAGGTTTATGTAGTTTAGAAAATGATTTAATATTAAGATCTGATAACAAAAGTAATAATATTTATGGATCAATTCCATATATTCCACCCGAAGTTTTAAGAGGAAATGAATTCACAAAGAAGGGAGATATTTATAGTTTTGGTGGAATTATGTATGAAATGGCAACCGGAAAACGACCATTTTATGATAGAGCACATGATACTCGTTTAATAATTGATATATGTAATGGAGTAAGACCAAAAATTTCTGATATTATGTTGGATTGGATACCGGAATATTATTCAGACTTGATGTATGAATGCTGGAGTGATGATCCTTCTGAACGACCTACTGCTAAAGAATTACAGAGCGCATTGTCATTATATTCAGATGACAAATTACATAATAATAAAATAGATGATAACGTTTTTCAACAATTTAAGATTGCAAATGAAAATCAAGAAAAAGCAATCAAATCTCAAAAACAAAAATTATTAGAATTACTTTCATCAAGCGAGTCTCATTCACAATCTTGTTATATTAGTCGAAGTATTCATACTCTTCACGGATTACATAATTCATTAGAAGATATAAAATCTGGAAAATCTCAAGGTAATATTTTTATCATGATTAAATTATTTTATTTTAATTAATCTTAATAAATAATCAATTTCTAATTCAAAATATATAGATCCTAATTTATTAAAGTCTAATAAATCAACTGCTTCAAGTATCACTACTTATGATATAGATTCTAAGGAATTAGAAGAATGTATTGATTGGGAAAAAGAAATTCAAAATGAAACAAAAAAACGATCATTCTCAACTTTAGAATATAATTTTGAAGAATCCAAAGAATTCATTAATTTAGATAAAGATAACGTGATATTAAAGAAAATTAAAAAAGACAATTAGATTTTATTAAAATAATTTGATTTAATTTATTTATTTTTGTAAGTATAAACAAATAAACAAATGCAACGATCCATAAATTATAAAAATTAGAAGTAAAGAATACATCATTAATTCGTGAACGGAAAGGATTTTGGGGAAACTTTTCCTATATAAAAATCAAATTTTTAATTGTTAAAAAAATGCATATCTCTTTATTTTATTGATGTTGTCATTTGAAACTAAAAATATATGTTTAAATTAGAACTATTGCTTTTTATGATGTTAATGGAGAAAGGGACTTTTATAAGATAGTTGTGATATCCTTATTCCAGAACGAGATTATGGTTCTTATATGTAGATCTCTTTCCGTTTATCCCGAAACACGAATTAGAAAAAATTCATTCCTTTTGTATTTATTATTATTTTGATGAATAATTACAGTGGCCATCAAAAGTATTGCATCACCCGACTTTTTGCTTTTAAAAATTCTGCCTCCTGAACGATTGATTTTAGAACAATAATTACTATACTCATTTTAATCTTTAAATTTTGGAGAATTTTTTAATTTTTTTTTTTGTACCAAATTAATAATGCTGATGGATGATTGACATCAACAACTAGCACTTGGTAAAATTTCGAATTTTATATGGCACAGCTACAGTAATGATCATCATAGGGTTGATCACCCCTCCCAAGGAGAATTGATCCAATTTCGTGACGATCGGGCCGGTGGTTGCTGCGTAATTCATTCTCAAAAATTGAAATTTTACATATAAAATATTTTTTTTTTTACTGTTTCATATGTAAAATTTCAATTTTTGAGAATGAATTACGCAGCAACCACCGGCCCGATCGTCACGAAATTGGGTATATCAATTCTCCTTGGGAGGGGTACCATATAAAATTTTGTTGATGTCAATTAAAGGCAAAAAGTCGGTTGATGCAATACTTTTGATGGCCATTGTACATCTTTTGCGTTATTATTTTTTTCGCATTTATTTGTTATCAAGTAGAAGGTAATTAAATATTTGTTGTAACCCGAAACCAATCGGAAAGATACAAGAATTTATTCAAATCAATTTAACTGGAATTTTATTTGCAAAGCAGAGAAGAATATGTACTAACCTAATTTTAATTTACCTGGAAAAATCCGATAGCATTAAATCTATCACGAAGATTTTCGTCGTTTTTTAACTTTTCGCAAACTTCGCTCACCCTGCAGCAAATTTAAATTGTCAACTTAAACAAAAACTTGTGTGAAAAAAAATATATAAATGGTGATAAATTTATTCAATTATGATAGAACAATTTATTCGGTAAGCATATACGTGTATAATATCATTATCTTTTATTCAATTATTTTTCTTCATTCAAATTGAAGCGCGTACGTACCATAAATTATTTGTTCTTTATCGCATTCTAAGTAAAATAATAATAAGCGTAAACGTAAAACGATATTAAATGATTCTGATAAGATTAAATTAACAATACTTAATTTTATTATTTTAGGTAAAAAAAAAAAAAATCCAGAGTTAATCAAGAATTAAAAAGAAGAAACTTCTTTATTGAGAAAATTTTAAAATGGGAAACAAAAGTAAAATTTGTTATCCCAGGAAATAGTTATGATTGTTTTTCTTTTTCTTGATTATTATTATGTGTTGTGGTAGTGATTATTTTTGTTTATTGCTAAACTTGTAATTTAATTATTTTACTTAAAGAAGTAAGTCGTTAATAATTGTTATGAAAATATTAATCGATAAATTATTTGTTCTCGTGTGCATGCATGATTAATAATATTATTATTGACACTATTTTTTTTTTGTCATATATTAAGTATTTTTAGGCGATTTTTGTATTTTTTTCTAGAATTCATAATTATTACCTAATCATGACATTAACCAAATACAGAAAATACCCAAATACTTGATCTACAAGATTCCAACTTATACAACCTTATAACTTATCACAATTTGTTTAGATTTTAATTCAATTTTAATTCAATTATATAAATAAAATATTAAAATTCGGCTTAAAGCGAGGCTATATGATCGAAAAAGTAATATTTTGCTTGTAAATATACAAGCCATTTGGATTTAATAATAAATTTATATAAAGTAGAGAGAAATTATTATTCGTTCGGAAAGACCTCATATAATTGATTAAAATCTTTTTGTTAATCTGATTCCTTTTTTTTGATAAACAAGAAAAAATAATTAGTCTTCCTTTATTTTTTTCTCTCTCTCGTAATGTCAAAAGTAAAAGTAGATTAACACGCGAATTTTTTTTATATTAATATTCTTTATAATTTTAGTTTATATAATAAAATAATTCTAAATAAAAAAAAAAGATATACATACCGAACGAATTTCTTTGTTGATTTTAATGTACTTCAGTAACGTCAACGACTCCAAATTCTCTCCTAAATTCATTTGTATGTATATATGTTTTATTTATATAACATGTTTATCTAAATAATGAGTTAATTATAAATTGTACGTCTTTGGTTTATAATTTGTAGATGAAGTGCTGTCATTTTAAAAAATTATATATATCCCCATCCTTTTTTTCTTGTTTTACAATTTTGAACAACCTATAATAAGTAATAATAATGGATATAGGAATTTTATTAAATAACGAAGATTTCAAAGGTGATAATGATCGTTCATACGAATGCAGTTGGATAGGTTGTAGAAAAGTATTTTCACGACTTCAGATCTCGCCAGACATAGAAGAATTCACACTTGTGAACGTCCATATACACTCACTGGTAAAAAGTATAGAGACACCTGACAATTTTTAAAAATAAATCATTTTAGTTATTCTATATAA